CTAAGCTCTCCTTCTCGTCTGAATCTCTGGGCAGAAAGGGGGTGAGTCCAAGGATCCTCTGAGTCTGGTTTCTTAATAAACAGCTTAAAACCAATATCCGGAAAAAACAAAGCCAGCGTCATGGTGGCAACTGGTTCCATCCTCTCCCTTTCTGAGTGGCATGCAGGCGTGCTGCTTGAGTCATCCGAGGCTGAAGCTGGGAAACCCTGGTGCTGAGCAAAACCAGGAAGGGTCCCTTCCCTTGCACTGGGGTGAGGCTGGGGAAGGTGGGCTTGCTGGTCTGCAGCACAGTCTAAGCTTGGCTGACGGTGGTTAGAGGCCAGGAAGCTAAGCCTCCTGGATGGAGGTGATACAGCCAAGGCAGGTCCCCTCCACCACCCACACTGACCCCCACAAACACACAGTGGCCTGCTTCCAGTTCAGCCAACCTCCTTGCTGCTGAAGTCCAGGAAGTTATCATTTCCTCTGCATCCCAAATTCAAGTTCCTGACCAATTCATTCATTTGTGTGTGTGTTTTCCCCCCATTAAGTCAATGACTGAGCACTTATATGCATGGACAGTATTCATATGCATGTATGTATAGGCTAGAACCTCTTGGGGGGGGATGCAGAAAAGAGTAAAATAAAGTTCCTTTTGTCAAAGGATTGCTATGCATCTTGAAGGCAACGTCTTGCATGTTTCCTTCCTGCGCTGTGAGAGCCACCTTGCCTGATGATATCTGCACATAGTGGGCTCTGAAGGATGTTTTAGGGACCAAGATGCGTGCCCAGGCGGGTCTTTGTCCCACTTGGCCTCTTGCCATTGTCCCCAGGAGATAAAATAGCATTTGAGTGCCAGACAACATTTCTCCTGCTTTCACTCTGCAAATATTCCCAGTCCCTGGAACTGACTATTCAACCAACTGATGGGTAACAGCCGTTCTCCCATCCAAGTGACACTGCAAATGTATTGTCTCTAGGTCACCCTGGCATCGAACAGGCAAGAGTTCTGCAGGGGACTACAAGGTATTGAATGATGTCATCTGAATACCTCATAGTCTGTGCAAAGGTTTTGATAGTAAAGTTTCATGGTGGGATGTACAGCACACCAGAAAAATGATGAAGAGTTGGAAATAGGCCAGACAAGACAAGTATATGAGGAGTTTCCAAACTATTTGGCAAGTGGAAGTTTAGTGCAGGGATTGGATCACTGATGTTTTACAAGAACACCAGGAACTCACCCTCACTTGTTGTAGACACCATACTCAGCTCTGAAATCCTCGCAGGAGAGAGGAGAATTGGGTGAACATGTCCTTGAGATTTCATTGCAGGTCCTGAAAAGTAAATATATATATTACAGAGAGAGTTAGGAAAGAGAAAATGCCTTTTTTTGGGCATTGGAAGTTTTTCATAAAAATGTTCAGACACTAATTTAAAAATTGACAATACATGTATGTAGATGTGAAAGCAGTGGGCATACACCCAGCCAAGTAAATTTATAGCACATATGCTCCCAGCATATGTTTTTATTTATACACTCACTGCAGGGTTATATAAAAATGGGAAGTAAAATGGATGAGAGGTTTTTAGAAAACTTCTTGCATGTGGGCACCAGGGAGACATATATTAGAAT